ACTTTTGTTTGAATTTGGGCCGTCGTTCTCTTCTCATGTCCGAGACTGGCTAATCTGTCAGCAAGCACGCCAAAAATTCCCGTTTTGTTGTTTGTTTTTTTAATTTTCTATCCGGTCTCTCAGCTCGTGTTGACCCCACAAATCCAGCATGTCAGCAGTTTCCTGGTCGCTCCAAATCAATCGCATTATTATTAATTAAAATTTGAATTAACTTTTATGAAAAGTAATGATTGCGTCTTGATTGAACACGCATGAAGAACTCACGGGTTTTTTTATTCAAGAACTTCTAAACGCAACGGCGTCATCGACTGTGATTGGTCGACAGCCAACGAGGAAATGTCAATCTCGGTCACGCCAGGTTCAATCCAGGGTCAATATGGGTGCTGAGCCGCGATCGAGATAGGTAGATTGAGATCGAGGTCACGCCAGGCGCGAGTCGGTGCAGATGCGGTCACATTAACAAAATCTCACCCGCGGTGAGTCAAGCCAAGCTTTGAAACTCTAGTGTGACCGATGTCTTAAATCCCTTTAATTGGTCATCGCATTCCACACCCCCACTTCCAGTTGTACTAGTGCAAACAAAGTGACACAGATAATAAAGTCATTATAATTTGTCTTCGAAATGGATCAAAAGCAACAGAAGAAAAATTATGTTTATTTATAAATTCATGTAGAAACTACTTAATGTAGGCGATTAAAAAAATAATAATTGGGTATATGCTTTTTTTTCACAAACTCAGAGGCCACATATTTATTTTTTCATGGTCAAAGCATACAAAATCATGGTATGCCCTAGTAGTTTTAAAAAATGATGTACAACAATGCCTAATTTATAAAAATCTAAAGAACTAAATAATTATTTTTATATTTGTTGTTATAGGCAAGAATGTGGTGCAGTGCTTTTCGGACCAGTATCCAAAGATTCTTCCTGATGTCGAAAATAAGGTTCAAGCCATTCAAACTAAAGTCTTCAATGAACGTCAGAAACTTAGAAATAAAAACAAAAATTAAGTAATTTCTGACAACAATATATGTTTAGCAATGTGGCTGCTGATGACTGTAGAACCATTTATTTTTGCCATTTTACGCTTTTGCGATCATTTGTTTTCGCGATTTAATCTACTGCGGAAAATGAAATTTTTGATCTAATGAAATGTTTTCGACTTTGCTGGAAAAAAAAAAACATTTCCTCTTGCATAGAAAGTGTCTTCCACCTCGTCTTGAACTTTAGTAACACTTGCGAAAGTCTGGTTCTTTCTTGGCAGAATAGGGATTTGAAGGAAAGTGGACACAATGAATGGCAAGACCCATGAATTGCCAAACAGGGCTAGAATGTCTACGGGCCAATTGCCATTATTGCACATTTCTTAATTTTTCCCTGTAGGGGTGTTTACCAGACTAGATAAAAAGGATTAAAAGTCCTCACTTAATCACTGCCACAAAGTTCCGTCATTGTGCCTCAACGCTTTATTTTTTCTTAATTTTGCCCTGTAGGGGTGTTTACCAGACTAGATAAATAGGATTAAACGCCCATGTCCGTATTGTGGTACTGGACCAAAATGACGTTGTTATCCGTATGTCCCCTCAAGTGGGTCGTATCGGCACCGCTCTTCTCTTCTATCCATTGCTTTCTATATAGTTTGTCCTTTTTGCCATATTGCCATGTCTGTCATCAAAGTTATGATGATCACTTGTACTTGCCTTCTTTTAGCAATTTGTTGACCGCTTTTATAGACATTCGACTTTTAAAATATCAGTTAGAGTCTGATACATCCCAAATGTTTTTTAGCCATTGCCTTCCTTATTGTGAATGTATGTATGTATAATTGCAGTTAGAATATAATTCTTATATTTTGTAATATACCCCTTGAATTTTACAATGAAGAGACATTCTGTATCTGTTAAATCCTGTACAAACATCATTCATTATTATTTAGCATCATCCCCTTTAGGGCACCCCTCAAGCACATGATAATAAAATTTTGAATTTATTTTCTTAGATTTACATAGAATATGTCGTAAACTGAATAATGTACTTGCTACTTAACAGCAAAACTAGTCTACATAAACCACAGTAGGTTTAAAACAGAGCCTTCAGGCTTGAAGCTTAACATTAATGCTAATTATATGCAAATAAGGTAATTATTAATTAAAATTTAATGTCCTAATCTATTTCAGTTGTTCCAAAACCATAGTCAAGTATTAATGTCACTTAAAACTGTTTTTTAAAAAGATATGAATGACAATGTATTTCAAAATTGAATGTTTGGCCATTTGAAAAATATGAAAATGACAATCATCTAATTAATAACACAATAAATCAATAAATATCATCTTCAATTATACATGGCTCAAAACTGTACTACAGAAGTAAAATCACTTGAAGTATTATTTAGAATTGCCTTTTAAAATTTTAGGCAGCCATTTTGAAAATATTGTGCCACGACCCCTTAAAATACAAAATTAGTTGGGTCCACCTCTAAACTGTTTATGTTTACATTTACTAGACTTGTGGTACTGGCCCAGGATATAGTGGTATGCAGCTATAGCTTAACAGGCTAATGCGGGGAGTTTTGATTTGTGATACTACAGTAGATTTTCAGGAGATTGACCAGGAACATAAAAGATAACGAAAAAATTTAGTCACTTCAAATGCAAATGCTGCAGCTTATTTAAAAAGCTAGCAGAAACAAGCCTAAAGAGGCTTTGTACGGGGACTTTGAATAGGTACCCATTAAAGTTAATCATAGTATAATTAGAGCAAATTTAATTGATTACATTGAAGTTCGATAAAAACCAATGGCTCAATTTTATGTTGAACACGTCTTTTCCAGATGTTGAACTGCAATGTAATTTTAGCAGTCTTATGAAGATTGGCACAGATATATATTCAATTAAATTTTAAGAAATTTCAACTTAGGGAATAAACCTGATACAAGCTGGTTAATGTTTATACAAGCTGAGTTAATGGTTTTCAAGTACCATTTTGTCAAAGTCGAATTTACAATTCAGGAGAAATGAGATTTTGAGAAAATCTTTGCTCCAGGAATATGCTTCAAGCATCTAGAAAACCCCACCCCATATCTAAAGTTTGTCTTCCAGCAACAAAACAAGCTGTCTTCTCATGACGCCTCCCACCATGGGAACCCATTTGTGCGATAGTCAGGTTAAACTCTGGATCCGCGCTTGACATGTATTTAAGAGAAGTGCTTAAAAAAGGTATATTTACAGTATATTTATTTATAGAAAATAATGTTGCATACTACTATCTGGAATAAATATACAGATAAAGGCATGGTTTTTTTCTTGTCAGTTGACTAGGTAATTTAGTGAAGAAATAAATATAAGTCCTAGGCGAGTGTTAATGGAACCATTAGTCTGACTTCCTGCAAAAGATCACTATGTGTAGTAATTGCTCTACTTGATTTAAATAAAAGGTAAGCCCACTAGACACTTAATAATAGTAAGGCAAACTTTATTCCATAATAAAACAAACAAAATGTACATTACATATTTAAGAAAAATGGAAAAGGAAGCTCAAATATAAAGCAAAGCTTTTAAGCTGAGACCCTTGTAAAAGAATACATATAATAAACATTTAGGAAAACACTAAGATTATCTTATAAAAAATTGATAAATAAATAAAAAAAATATAAAAAATAAAGAATGTTAAATATTCAATTTCAACTGAAGTAAAAATGCATCATAGATACTTAATCAGTTATTATAAATCTTAAACTAAAGAAAATAAAATAATGTAAACTATCATTAACGGCTCCTGAATTATGTCAAGAGAGTAGGTCGAGTCTAAACATACAGGTGGAATTTAGCCCTTTTTTCCTATTCAAAACCTAATTAATTAACTTTGGTCTGTCAAAAAGTGGTCAGGTTTCGACCTGACCACTTTTTGACTTTTTGAGGACCGTATCGGTGGCTACGGTCCTCCAAATACAAAGTATTGCATAATAATGTTAAATATTGAGTCCGGAAGTCGTATGGAAAGTATATTAATAATTTATTTTGTTCTATATGACAATAAAAAATGGTTCTGGGCTTATGTTAAGGCAAATAAATCTATTTGAAACAAGTCCACTATTTTTATGTCAAACTTCTTGATATCTTGATATTGGTTTTAACAGATAATTCACATCAGCTTTTAATAAACCTTGTGACCTAATACTGCTGCTTTTTGCCTTTTCAATTCTGTTGATTTCCATCCTTTTGATTATTATTGATGTTTCACCTTGTGATGTTTTCAATTACTTTTCAGCTTTTATCTCCTACTGTAGGTTACTGCAGCTATAGTTCCTATTATTTCATATCCCCTTGGTTCACATTTTAGATATTCCCTGACTACTGGCCAATTACCTAATGATTGGAAGCATTCTGTCATTGTACCCATCCTCATTTACTCTGAGAGTGTACCAGAAACGTTAGGTGTCCCCCAAGGAAGCATTTCAGGCGCGTTATTGTTTAACCTTTATGTCAATGAATTTTCCTTTTTGTTAAAATGTCATTCTGTTCCTTTTGCTGATGATTCTCTGATTTATAATCCGATTGGTTGTGTTCATGATGCTGCAGCAGTGCAGGATGACCTCAACTACCTTAACGAATATTCACAAATTAACATAATGATGTTTAAAAAACAAAAAACTAAAGTTGTGCACCTTACTAAAAGAGTTTTTTATGAACATTTTTATTTTATAAACTGTTAAGCATCACATGTAACAAATTAGCACAAATATCTTGGTGTTGTTATTGGGCTTATTCGACTGGTTCATTGAGTATTATTTTCATTCGACTGGTTCGTAAAATAGACTGTTGACAACGAAAATTAACGTAACCAGAATGCATTAATCAGCGTTTAGTTATGCACGTGACCAAAAAAAATATGGCCGATTGTTCAGTTTAGCAACAATGTTTGCGTTATTATAATTTAGATTAAATTTCAGAAAATAAAAATTATAATATTTATCCACATTGAAGTTAAAAAATAATTGTAGGCTAACAGAATTCAAAAACGGGATGAATACGAAAAACCCATACTTCCACAATCCAAAGCAACCTTGATTATACGCAACCATTTTGTTTTGTTGAGTATTTACCTGTTTTCTTTAAGTAGGATTTTACCACTGCACAGGTGGGCGTGGTTTAACGAAGAACGACCAGTCGAATACGGCCGTTGATGGTAGACTTGCATGGAAGAACCATGTCGATATTATAATCTCTAAAGCTAATAGACTTGATGGTTTAATGTTCAGAATAGCTGGTGGAGCACAGCCTGCTGTTCTCAACCACCCTTTTTAAACCTTTAATTCCAGCATGGATGCGTAAAAAAAAAAATTCTATTATAATCCAACGCATCCAGAGGTCTGCCACAAGGCGTATATGTTAAAAGGGAAACAATGCCATACACTGACCAACTTAAATCCCTCAGTTTGCTAACACTTAATTCCCGGTGTGAATATGTTCTAATATGTTTGTTTTTAAATGTTTATATGGTTTAACTGACTGCTCTTGAGTTGTTGACAACGTTTTAGTAATACTTTTAGGAATCCTGATTCTCTTTTATTTAAACACCAATTAGTACTCAATTGTTTTCATGTATTTTATTATTAATTGTTACTCATTCAATGTTTTTTTCAATAGCAATTTATTGCAATTGTAAATAAATATGAATATGCAATGTAATTATACATTTTAAAAATTAATCTTTGTAATTTTTTTTAAATTTTCAATAAAACCTGTTAATAATTAATTCTTTATACAGTTTTATAACCTTTTCTACTGCGTGCAATGTTGTAATTTTTATCCTCGCAACTGTTAAATTAATAATTAATTGTAATTATTTATTTTTTATATATAATCTTTTTTTATTTATTTTTCTTTTTTGTAGTTCATTTGCAATATTTATTATGTATATAAATCATAATTATTCAATTAATTTATTAAGACATCTTAAATCTTTATAGTCTTTAAGAAATGTTATAATAGTATGCAATTTAGATCACTGATTTATTCTTTATATTGGTTACTGTTTGCATTTCTTTATATAACCTTTTCATTGTGTGCAATATTTATTAGTATTTTTTAAAATGTTATTTAGACATTCTTGACAGCGTAGTAAGAAAAGATGAAATTGTTGTGGTACCATAATCTTTTGACTGTTTCATCATGACTTCATTAAAAATTGTTTTTTATATGTTTTACTGGAATTAACCTACTTGTTTGTAGGTGTGAATAAAAGAATGTATAAGTCAACTATTATATATTGCATTAACATTTATAGTTAAATATTGTGGGAATTGAGGAACTTTGTCATCTAGTCCGATGGTTGTTTTGAGCAGGGCTACAATTGATCAGCGGTGGTAGGCTTTGATGGAATCGGGTCTATAATTAAATACTTAATTAAGGTGTTTTTTTTTTTGTATTACCAGTGAAATTAGGCAATGACAGCAAAGAAAAGACTAGTTTGTTTCCAACCCATTATGAGAAGCTACCCTATTCAAATGATGTTATCGCAAAACATTTTTAGTTTTACTTTTTGTGGATGCTTCAGCATTTTGTTGTATGATTAAATACATATTTGAGAATATGTATAGTACAGTTATCCCAGGAGTAAAAGAAAAG